AACCAAAAATTCAATTTTTTTGTGAACCAAAATTAGATTATAGTTATGAAATACTCTATGATAATATATTCAATATGAGAGCTTATCGAATTAATATATCTATTGAACTACGTGATGGTGAAGGTGATGATGAAATTCGCTGGAAAATTGATTGGGGTAATTATTCAACAGATGGTTTATTTCGTATTGCTCGTTATAATCAAAAATGGCGTGGAGGATTTTTCTCTTGTAATGGATTCGATGCTACTGTACCAGAACAAACAAAATCAGATCTTACATTCGGTTGTGTCTGGGAACATCTTAATTCTGTTCATGATGAAACACCATTACATATATTATTATGGGGTGGTGATCAAAATTATATTGATTTTATGTTTGAAGATATTCCATACTTAAAAGATTGGGTCGATATGGAATGGAATGAAAAATGGACATGTGATTTTCGTAAAGATTTAGAACATCAAGTAGAAGAATATCATTTTAACACTTATGTTCAAAACTGGGAACGACCAGAAGTAAAAAATGCATTAGCATCAATACCAAGTTTAATGATGTGGGATGATCATGATATATTCGATGGTGCAGGTTCATATCCTCCTTTACTTCATGACAGTCCTATGATGACAGGTTTATTTAGAGCTGCACAAAAACTTCGACTTTTATTTCAACATCATACAACACTCGAAAAAGCACAAGAACATGGCCTCTTTGGATATCAAGGTTACAATTTTCTGGCACATTGCGGTCCTGATTTAGTTATTATTGGCTGCGATGGACGTACCGAACGAAATACAGAAATAGTTCATCACCCAAAAACTTGGGATATGATTTTTGAAAATTTAGAAAATTATGTTATGGACATTACACATTTAATTGTTTTATTTCCTGTGCCTTTTTCATTTGTTCGATTTAAATTAGGTGAATCAATTTTACACTGTTTAAAAAATCTTCCCAATAAATGTCGCACTGTTCCAGTTGTTAAGAAAACAAATTCAATATTTGGTTTACCTGAACTCTATGATGATCTTCTTGATGAATTTACACATAAAGCACATATTGAAGAACGCAATCGTGCATTATCACGTTTTCAAGAATTAGCAGATAGAAAAAAAGTAAGAATAACATTTTTTAGTGGTGATGTACATTGTTGTGGTGTTGGTCGTTTTCAAACTCGACTTAAGGATGGTCTAGAACCTATCAATGATAGTAAATTAATGTATCAAGTTATTTCATCTGCTATTGTTAATATGCCAACACCTCGACGATTTCTTCGTGCAGCTCATTATGTGCAAACAAAATGGCATCCTATAGAAAATACAGAAGAAGAAGTGATCGATTTTTTTCAACGTTTACCAGAAAATGGTAGAAAACTGATGCATAAAAAA